GTTTTGTTACTATATAAAGTGTAGCCATCCACCCAGCCAATTCTGAGGGCCAGAAGGGGTATTGGGGGCCATCGTGTGCAGTCTATGGCCACGTATGTGGACATGTGAGTGTGTAAATGTGTTGTACCAATGTATACGAGTGATAAACACTAATAGGCGTGTCGGTCAAAGTCAAATGTAGACGGCCATCTTAGGCTGAAAGCACCATATCCCGTCTGCTCTGTGAAGTTAAGCATTCCGCAAATTGCCAGCTACCCCCGAAGTGAACAAGAGACGAGCCCAAGCTCGCTCCCTCGCTTCCCCTCAGCCAGCCTCCCCGCTCCTGCCCCCCCCGACCACGGGCCGTGCCAGAGCTCCAACCAACTCCAAGCTACCGACCGACCCAAGTCACCACAGTTGTTAGGCGCCCACAGTTAACTGTGAGCTCATCCCTGCTGTGCGAAAGACAAAGGTCTCCGTGCGCTAAGTTTTTTCCGAACAGGAATTGACTGGGTTTGCTCAACTGCTACCTATAGACCCTTGTGGTGTGGACTGCTACGTAAGACGCTAGGCCGGATTACCGTAGTTCACTGAAAACCCGTAAGCCAAGTGGATTGGTGAAGGGACACAAGTGCTAGAAGTAGCGGGCTCCATCTACACCTAGTCCGGGTATTGAGGTACCCTTCGACGAAGTGTTTGCTTAGGCGTCCTCGCGACACTAGAGCCGTGGCACACGCATTCCCACCGTTTCCGACCCCGACGAAGCCGACGTTGTTCTCCAACCCCATCCTGACTGGAATCTCCCATCCCACTTTGGATCATTTTCCCATCCCAACCCGGATCATGACTGGACCGCAACGGGATAAAAAGTGGCGCCAGGCATGGCAAAACACGGCGCCCCGCGCAGAATTTTCACGGCCTCAAGATGCTATCTTTGAGAACGCGGAGAACGCTATGCTGGACCCCGACCGCAGCCCCGAAGACAAGCGCTTCGCGGCGCTCGCTGGTACGCCCCAAGACGTCGCCCTCGAGCTGCTGCTGCCCATGTGGATCCCAGCTCGGGAACTAACTGCCACCTTCTCGGATACGGAAATTATGACCTCGATGGGTTCTACGCCCCAAACTACAACGTGGACGTCTAACCTCGGTCATCTTCGCGACTTCAAGACCATTCGTAACGCTGGTATCAGTTTCCAGTGCGACGATCGGGATATCTGTACGAAACTGGGGGGTGAACCTGTGACTATCTGTGGTCGCAAGTTCAAAGTCCAGCCGTACTCCAAGTATTCCCACTGGTACTATGTGGATCTTCAACGCCTGCCGGACGACGCTACCGATGGACTCATTTACGACTGGTTTGCCCAAAAAGGCACGCCGCCTGTGTATATTACACCGGCTCATGTCGTAGGTGGACTCCGTTCTCGCAGTCGCCGGGTCTACTTTAACCAAAAGTTACCCCCCGAGTCAGTGATGCTAAACAAGCGCACTCCGCTCCGCCAGATCAGGTTTACTGGTCAAGGCTACTCGGTAGTGCACCACCGCAACCGCGCTTATAACAGCATCATTCCACCCTTTATTAAGGAACTCCGCGAAAAGGGTCGCCAGGCTCGTCAGCCTAAACCTGACCCGCCCAGCCCTGACTCGGACGACACAGGCAGTATCCCGCCTGCGTTTGACAATGACAGTGATACCAGCGACAGTGCCGCAATGGTTGACGACTCCGCCTCAGAGAGTGAGCCACATAGTGGGGATCACTCTGATGAGGAGTCCTCCCAACGCGGTACCATGGATGGTATTGAGTCCGCCGTTATGGCACGACCCAAATCGGTCTGGCCCCATAGTCAAGTACCCAATTTCCCAGTTGGCTCGATTCAAGCCACTGACTTTACGCCAGCTCGTATTAAGCGAGCAAAGAGTCTGGTATTTGGTACTATCGCTGATCCGGAGGTTGTTCTACAACGTCTTTCTCCCTCTCAGAAGGAATATCCGACAGTCGCCTCAGTAAACTCGTACGAGTGGTTGAGTGAAGGAGCGGGCGGACCTATTCCGCCTGACCAGGATCTCATTCTCTGGGACAAGTCGACTGACCCGCCCCAGTCAGTAGCCTCTTATGTGGGGCTGACGGAAGTGACTGAGAGCGTTCTCAATGCAGCGGTTTACCAAGGCAATGTTGAGCAGCTCTCTCTCAAAGAACTCTGTGCAGTAATTGAAGACTTTCTTGGCTCATTCAGCTTGGTGACCGACCCGGACACTCTGCTGTCCACGGTTCAGGCTCAACCTAGTCTTCATCGCGTACTATTGGACTCAAAGGCGGAGGGAAATTTCCACCACCTTCGCACCAAGGCCTTCGGACACGCCGTTCTCCGAGAGCTAACTACCCAAGTCTTTCCGTCGGATGATGACGGCAGCGTGTATAGTCGACTCTCTACGCTTTACCCCAACCAGTCTGACTTCGATTTTCAGACAGTATTAGGGCAGCTATGTCCTGATCAATCCCAATATTGGCTCAAGTTAAGACTGGCTGAAGCGGATCTATCCCTGCAGATTATTGCACCCAGTATCTACGTGGATCCACTCAAATTGAGTGCGGTTACTGGGAAGGCAGCAACGGCACTGCCTCACCCACTGTGGCTTCTATGGGATGACTCGACCCTCGCCAACGTTATAATGTCGCCCTTAATGGACCGCATTTTGGCAGGGCCTCTCCCTACTGACCTTCGCTCAACGATTGGGTACCTACGAGAACAGGCCGCTTCGGTGGCCGCCTCTGTTCCCACTCGCCTCTAATATGCAGTGGGCCCTGAGAGGGTTCTCTCTCAACGCGAATGGTTTAAATAATGTCACACAACGTACCCTCAATTTTTTCTCGAACAACTTCCACATTGTGGGACTCCAAGAGACAAAGTTTACGGGTATAAAGAGCTTTAAAAGAGCAAAACATCACTGGAGTACAGCCTCGCAGCTAAACTCTAGTTTCTGGTCACAAGATAATATGACCACCTATACGGGACAGGCTGGTGTGGGCTTACTACTCACGCCTACCTGTCCCGTCCGAAATCTTCAAGATGTCACGCTCCAGCATGTCAGCTCTCCGGAACTAATACCTCGGTATTTGCTAGTGCGCGGCACATTGGACTCTGTCGCGACTTATATCCACGTGGTCTACGCCCCAGTCCAACCAAGCCAGCGGGCGGGGTTTTTCTCTAACCTCCCCTGCAACTTTGAAGCGGACTCCCAACACATAGTGTTAGGTGACCTGAATACGGTGCTTTCCAGTCAACTTGACCAAGCTCGCCAAAGTGACCGGAACCGTGCCCAAGGCCGAGAAGCACTACTAGGATGGATGAATGACTTACACTTGGTAGACGCTTGGCGCTTGCAGCATCCAGAACTTCAGGAATTTACTAGCCCGAATAGCAGTTCTCGGATTGACTACGTGCTGGTTAGCTCCCGCCTCTTCCATTCCGCTGTTCAAGATATTCATCATGATTTTCGCGGTTTGGCTGGTAGGGGTGACCATGCTGGAATTTCATTTCGGCTCGGTTCTTCCTGCTTTAAGCCTCCAACAAGAGCCCCGTGGAAATGTCCGGCCTGGGTAATCCAGTTGCCAGAAGCCCAAGAATTCCTGGAAACCTCACTGTGTGAGTTAGCCGACTCCTTCCGGGCCCCCAGTTGGGATTCGTATAACCCAGGCTGTTTACTTGACGAGCACAAACGGAGAGACTCTATATTTCTCCGCGAACTCTTCCTTTCCAAGAAAAATGAGCGTCAACAAGTGCTCGCAAACTTGCACCTTCGAGTGAATGAGATCCAGCACTCCCAAGCCACTGCGCCGACCGAAGACTACTCTGAACAGCTCGCTAATGCCAAGGCCGAGCTTAAGGAAAAACTGGAAGAACAAGCCTATTATGCATCCAAGCAGAAATTCGCCTCTGACTTGGGAAGCTCTGAGCGTTGCTCTAAGTATTTCTTTCGGCCGCCCCAAGTACTTCACAAAACGCCTATTCCTGTGAATTCGGCTGAAGAACTCGACTCAACCTGCAAGGCTTTCTCTACGTACTGGTCTGGTATTTACTGCTCACCTTCGAAGGAATTTGGGAACTGCAAGCCCAAATGGGACCGCGTCAAGCTCTCCCAGATACTCCAGCATACCAAGACACGTCTAACGCCTAAGGATCAGGCTTACTTGGACAGCCCCTTTACGGCGAATGAGTTTTACTGGGCGTTAACTCATACTGCTTCTGGAAAGACACCAGGGCCCGATGGCTTACCGGTGGAGTATTACAAGGTGGATCTACCCCTTTGGAGCCGCATACTGGAGGTTGTGTACGCTGCTCAATTTCAACGAGGGAAAATGACTAAGTTTCAACGGCGCGCCCAAGTCTCGCTGTTGTATAAGAAGGGCGACCGGAAGCTCCCCAGTAATTACCGACCAATCTCGTTGCTCAACGTAGACGCCAAATTAGGGCCTAAAATTCTGGCCTACAGACTTGGCTCTATCTTGGGCAAACTCCTTCACTCCGATCAGTACGGCTTCGTTCCTGGGCGGGACATTCGTCACGCACACCTACGGTTTCAGGCGCTAACTCAGTTGTTTACTGAGGCCGATACGCCTGCTGGTGCAGTGTTACTCGACTTTGCTAAAGCCTTCGATAGTGTCGTATGGGAAGCACTTGACATGGTTTTGATGCATTTCGGTCTCTTGGCGCTACCAGTCAATACCCTACAAGCTATGCCTCTCGAGTATTGACGGCAGGCATAATCCAGCCCTATGCAGGGACTTACCGGAAAAGTGTACACGTGTCTTGGACTAGGAAAATTCTGCTCTGTTATCTTCTGGGAGCCCTTTCGGCTCCCCCTATTTAATCCTATGCTTCTCATACAAATATCTAATGAAATGTAGTCGTTTCGGATCTCTACCGACCCTTCAGCTGAGTTCCGGCGACCGTTGAGCTCAGCGG